GAATTCAGTGAGAGTTTTGCCACCAGTTCCCTGGGAGCAGGTTGGGGGCAGAAAAAAAGCAATGCAGATGATCCCCAGCATTGCTTGAGGGAAACTTAATAAACAAACCAGGAATGCAGAACAAGATTCTATGCTGTCCTGCATTTGTATACTCAGTTAATGCAAAAGAGACAGAGGAACTCAGACATGAATAGAGAGTTGGGGCTTTGTTGCAGTGCTTACAAATTGCTTTGTTCATTAAAGAAATACGGGGGTGGGGGAGAAAGGAACTCAGGCTGTTTTAAATAATACAGGCAAATAACCAAATAGAAACCTGTTTGTGTCTGCAATGCTGTAACAATTGTGCAGTGATATTTTATCTATATGAGAATATAACCTCAGTAAATCTGCCAAGGTCAATGAGACCTAAGGTGAACTGCAGCAGAACTGCAGGTAACTCAGGATAGAAGTTCTCTGTGGGCAAAATTAACTTATATTTATTTGTCAAGGATACTAAAAATGTGTCTGACATATTATCTCCATCTTCTCCCCCTTTGAAAAATGTCCTCACCTTTTGAGGTGGTTATATTCACTAGCAACAAGTACTGGGTTCTAGTGGAAAGAGTATCACCTGTGTACTGTTCAAACAAGAGAGGCTTCTGTCCTGCTACATTGTCCGGCTGCACTAATCTCCTAGTTACATGTGAGGGAGATGAAAGCATACTATTTATGTATTTTGATTACTTGAGATGTGTTCATCCAAATGACCAAAACTAAAGCCCCTCTTAAATCACCTCATCTAGGCTTTCCTACTATTTGTTATGATTCATTCAGATCTTCTGCAGACCTTCGAAGCCTGGGAGAACTGATAAAATTTCCAGTGTGCCTATATCAGACCAAGAGAGGAATATAACAATATTCAAGAACTTCTTGCTGAAAATGGCCTACCCATTTTTGAGAAAGCCAAAAGCCTGTTAGCTTGAGCACTGCAGGTGTTATACGAGGAGAAGGGAGTCAGAAGTAAGTGAAACCAAACAATATGGAGGTGACAGGTTAAAGCTGACACCCTGAATTTCTCCTACAAATGAATTGGAAGCTAAAATATATTATGGCCAGGGTGCTTCTTGGGAGAAACACCACTTAACAACTAACAGTGAGATTTGAACTACTTCCAAGCAGTTTCAAGGTGAAGACCCATGTAGAGCATTTTACATCTGTCCAAGCTAGATGGGTTAAAGGCAGGCATCAGTGATATGGTTCATAGTTCTAAACAAAAAGTTTGGAAAAATTTATGAAGTTAATATGAACACTTTTGCTATCTAGGTACTTATTTTGCCTCTATTACTACAGTATCTAAGTGCATCATACTCATTAACGAATACGTCCTCACGACTTCACTCTGAAGTTGCCAAGTAACCCCATTTTACAGGTGGGAACAGAGGCATGGAGAAAATGAATGACTTGCTCAAAGCCATGCTGGAAGTATATGAGAACTGAATTCAGGTCTCCTACAAGTCTCTATCAAGTGCCATAGCCATAGGTTGTCTTTCCTTCCCTGAATTTTATCAGGGTTGGGGAAGAAGCATTTTTGGCAGTTGGCCTTCAGTTACCAGAGGAAATCCTATCTATCATAGAGAGCACAATGGACCCAGGTCTATTCTCTCTAATGGAGCAAAAGTAAGATTCCCTTCTTTGGAAAGGCTTATTTCCAATTAAGCCTTGTGTTTAAAGGGTATGATCATTAAACTGAAGACCTTCCTTTTGTTTTGCACATGTGTAGATAAATCTGCTCATCGCTTACCCAAACATTTTGCCCCCCAGCCTCAGTGAGGTACTTACTGATGCCTGGGTCAGATGGCTGAAAGGTGGTGGTGTTGAGTGGCAGTCATAAAGGACTGAATTTGGTGGTGAGTTAGAACACAGAGTCATGAATCAGTTGCAGTACTGGTGGGATAAATAATATCGATAACTATTTGAACATAGAGTTTCTTATGGAAGTACTGGGATATTATATTGAAGAGCTATATGCTGCATTTTACTTTTATTGAATAGTTTGGCTTACAAGTGTGCCTACTGTAATTGAAGTAGATGACAACACAGGATCTTGGGCACCTACACCCAGTGCATAAAGCCTAATTAGCATGTGTCAGAAAAAAACAGTTAATTAGCACCCTCTGGCAGCCTCAGTATCTTGTGTATTCTGTGTCCTTATGCTTAAAATGGTGGCAGTGGCACTTTAACTAATGCTCATTGAATGAACTTCAGTTAAAGCACCCCCACAACCACTTTGAAGCATGGGACTGAATTCAAGAGACACTGTGGGCACTTTAATTAGACCAGGTCCCTAGAGCCACTCTAATCAAAGTGCCTCCCACCGACCTCGGAGCATGTGTAAAGACACCCCTTGTGTCTGTGTCATTCTTCTCCCCAATCTATTCTTGGAAGCCAAACTTTTCTACTTTATCATCAGCTGAGACAATTCACATCAACACTACAAAGGTGTTTGGGCATAAGTATTATAAATAATACTGTATCCTGCTTGAAACTGCAGAGGAATTCAGGTGAACATAATACCCTCCCACAATACCCTCACCCAACCCAAGTGCCCTGTGTCTCCTCACCAGGGATTCTCACCAGAGATTTTTCTCTTATAAAAAAAATCCTCAATTTTCAGACATAAAAAATATTTATATATAAATATATCTCTATATTACTGTTTCATTTTAGTCATGGAAAAATGTGGATTTTGGGTTACTTTTTTAAACCTGAAAATTGGGGATTTTTTTAATCAGAGAAAACTGAGATCCATGCTCCTCACAATGTGCCATGCCGCCCCACACTTCTGTGTTGTGTCCCTCACCACTCCAGGTCCTATGCCACCCCATGCCTCACCAGGTGGATTTCTTATCCCTCATCTGACTGCATTTTCACTTGATACCCGATTCTAAGATTTGTTTTCTCCATGTGGAACAGGTAAAAAAAGCTCATCTTGAAACTGAGTAAATACAGTAGTAATCATATTGGCAATCATATCTGGAACCCAAAGGCTGCACTTACTTTTCACATAATTTTATACTTGGGGCTGAACACTTAGGTTTACAATCCTATTTTCGTTTTTCTTTTTTTTCTTTGATTGATCAACAAAAAATATGTTTATTATTGCAAGTTACCAAAAATAATAGTAATTGATCAGCAGTGGCTATGTCTTCAATTTTCTCTCGCTGTCAAGTGGGACGCCCAATACAACAAAACCCTTCAGTGCCATGCTAAGCTGTTAATGTAGGCTATATTCGGACAGATGAGAGCCACATACTAAAACCACCCACATCAATTTCTTCAATATTCTGTGATGGAAGACTAGTATTCAGAATTCCAGTTGCTGGCACAAACATTACATTAAATTTTATCAAAACCATGTACTACATATGCCCAACATCTGATTTTAAACATTAAATGCTTATTTCTATACTACATGTAATTAAAAGCATCAAGCATTTGTCCTCACAAAGGATCCAGTCCTGCAAGCACATACACCCATGCTTAACTTTATGAATGGAATAAGGACTGTAAAGTTAAGCCCATATATAATTGTTTGCAAAGTCAGGGTTTGCAAATTTTGCCTCATGGACTTCAATAGACAAGCATCATGAGCACTTTTCAAGATAATTTTCCTCTTAAAAAGATTGTTTCTCAGCTTTCAAAAAAATCCTGGGCCACTTAAAAAAAATTCCCCTCTCCATAATTCAGGCAGAAAGAGACTTCCTCCATGTTTAGTTAATTGAATTCCCAGTTTTTATTAGCAGAGATACAGAGAAGTTTACTATTAATAAAGGTGCTGGGCGCTCTCCCAAAGATAAAGATATTTTTTCCATCAACGGTTTGCAGTATAAAAAATGTCCCATTGTCCATCATTTGTAGGACAGCAACGACCACAAGACTCATGTCGGATCAAGGCCCTGACTCATGTCAGATCACGGTGCTGCAGGAATACACAGGCTCCTGCCCCCTAGAAAACTTGCGATGAAAATATATAATAAATAAATAAATATATTATTAAAATTGTAATCGTAAATTATTAAAAACGTCATTTTTAACAGACTCCTTTTAAAAAAATGCCAAGCAGCATAGGAAATGCCAGCTCAGAAAGTAATAAGCACCTTAAAATAGTAGTCTGCAGTGAGAGTGCCTCATTTACAGCTAGGGTCGCCACAATAAACAAACCCTATAATAAAGTAGGAGCAAAACCAGGCAAGGAACCAAAAGCAAAGCCAAGTTGCTACACAAGCTCCGAGCTCTAGAGGTCGCAGGGAAAGCAGTGACCCGAGTCACCCGGCTGATTCCTGCCCTGAACCAATAGACTTGTTGCTGCCTCACGTTAGCAGCAGCCTGGGCTATGGTATATCATGATGTACATATTAATGATGGGTATGACGGCAGGAGTAAGGACAGAGGTTTGATTGTTCCCCCCTCCCCCTTCCATGGCTGCGACGGATTTGCTGGGAGGAGGGGCACGATGGCAAAAGAACCCTTGCCCGTAGATGCTGCCTAAGACGAAGACTACCTGCTGACCTTGTTGGGGGTTGCGTTGGCTTGGGCTTATCTCGAGAATCATTAGAGGGGGGTCGCTCAGCCACAGATTTTCCGGGTCACAACAATGGCTGTATCCTCTGTGCAGACACAGCCCTGCCTAGTGCCCAGCCCTGTAGGAACTAGAGCAGGATGATTATGATCACTGCATTAATTTTGCGAAGCATCCCCCCCATCTCTTCTGCGTTTCTTTTTTTTTTTCCTCCTCCTCCTTTTTCTCCTTTCCCCGATCGCGCGCACTGACGTGTCTGACATTTTGATGGAGACTACTGGACAATTTGCTTTCTTGCTCTGATCTCCGGTGTCGCCGGAAAAATAAGCGGTTCCTAGCAGGGGGGCGAATAGAGGGTAGAGAAGGAGAGGGGAAAACGGGGGGGGGGGGGGACCAACTGAGTCTGCTTGAATTCCCAGTCTTTATCAAGCAATTCACTCACCATTAAAAGAGAGCTGCAATTGCAGATTCAAGCCACATGCGGTAGTGTATAGCAATTAGCCGATAAACTGCTGACTAAAGTACTAAAACATGAAGTATTATTGAAGTCAAGGTCAAAAATACTTCAGTTCTCTTGAAAAAAAATAGGTGGGGGGAGGGAAGGCGGGACATTTGCACTTTCCAGTGACGGTCCAATCCCTGCCCACTGGACTTTTTATGACAGCGTTTATTACAGCTGAAGCTTCCCTAATTATTTCACTGCTGGTTTTGTAAGTAACCTAATCCTCCAGTTCCTTTATGAAAAGGTTCAGAGACATTGACTAACCTGCCCCCCCCCCAAGTACACACACCCCTTATTCTTCAAGAAATCAGATAAAAAGGCGATCCAGGCTTCTTTTTTGGCAAGAAAAGCAATAATAGAGAGGCGTGTGGGTGCAGTTTATTGTATCTCTGAACAGGAAACACACTAGAAATGGTTGGGAATATAAACACTAAACAAAAAAAACCCTCTTTATTTCTCTTTTCTACTCAATAAAGCCTTGCTACAGGCTCTGGTAGATAAACAGAACAGTTACTTTCGTGCTGTCCTGAATGGATTGTCTTTCTACGCCATTCAATCTGTTTATGAGTATTTACTTTACATTAGGAGAGAGCCCTTGCACTGCAGGAGTTTGGTGCTTTCCCCTGGGTGTCAGTGTCTGAAGCCTTACATCTGCTCTGTGATTGATGGAGCCTTGAATACACGTTATTACTCTTTCACAAGCAGAAATCAAACAGGCTATTAACTACATTACTTCAAAGAACAGTTTCAATACAATCTACTTATCTTAATTGAAACTTTCTTTGTATGGATATTTGCAGAGGAGATAATTTACAGGTGCGGAACAGGCATCGCATTAGGGAAAGGTAAAGCAGGAAAGGATTTACACCGGGATATATTTTTCTTAAATGCCCATTATAAAAATCAACAAACCCTGAACTCCAGCTTTTATTTGAGGTAGGGTTTTTTCTGGGGAGGGGATCTGTCCTAATGGCCGAGTTCTGGCTCTATGCAGCGTGAATCTAATTACAGAATTGCAGCTCTTCACAACTATCCACTGCAATTGTTAACATCAGAAAACCCTTATCACAGATTTTTCCCCCTACAAGGATTACGCAGCATGCAGTACGCTGGAGCGCCTACCTTTCCCAGACAGTGATACAGTGTTTCCAATTAGATAAAAGTATCTTCTAAACACTTTAAGACCACAGCGTCAAACAAAATAGAAGTTGCTCAACTGCTGTAAAACGTTGTGCATTAAGAGGAAAAAGGTTAATATACAATAGAGGAATGCCCGGAGGCTTTCTATTGAGGTTTCCTGAATAAATGCTGCTGCATTGCTTATACAGGAAACTGACTCAGAGTCAATCTTAAATATGATCTTGTCAAAATACTGCAACCCAAATTCTCTAAAACAAACGCACTTCAACTCCACTAGCTGTTTACCAGAACAATGCACAGCCTAATACACATATCAATCACATCTCATGTTAAAAGCAGTCTTTAAATGCCTTCTGGCCACCTATGGGCACACTATGTAAAGATGACTGAAGTAGGTTGATCTAATTAAATGCATGATGTATTTACTACCTTATAAAGTCAAAAGAAAAAAGTGGACTGTAATTTCATTCTGTAACCACATATTCTCTGGAATATAACGTTCAGATGAAATTTCAAGAAAAGCTCATTAAAGAATGATGCCCACAGATCATCTAACTTACTTATGCTGAATGAGAACAGCATAAATTGTTGTTTATAGAGCCTCCTACATCTGGCTGAGTTGTGATATTACTTTAAATTATTAAAATAGTTTTCGACAGCTTCCAGTTCTTTGGCATGAGCTTTTATTTCTTGATGTAATCTGAAGACCTGCCATTTTCTTTCGTTTATCTCTCTGTATACAGAAACAAGCTGGATCTTGCTTTTATTCCTTCCCTATGTTTTTTTTTAAGTGTAGGGTTCAGATAAGTGGTCTAATTCGCAGTAAAATGAGGACATGCATTATGAATAGCTATGGGGATGGCTCTACTGTAAAGCCACCAGTCTCCTAGGATCTGCATTTGTCCCCACTGCTCCGCTTCCACACTATTAACTTCAGCCATGTGAATATAATTTTCATTAAAGTAATCCTGTTTCAACTAGACGCTGTGGCTAGAGGTGAAACGTTGCGAAAGCGTTAAAAATAGCTTACTAGTAATTTCAACATCCTGTAATTTTATCACAGATCAGGTTTCAACTGTCATACTGTACAGACCTTATTCCCCATATCTCACATGTTTACTCTGTACCGTGCCAGTCCTACTGGGGTCGGCTCGGTGCCAATATGACAAAATTGGGGGAGAGAGGGAGACAGAGAGGAAAGAGTGCACCATTTTCCAGCCACCCTGCGAAACTGCATGTGAAGGCTGGCAGTGGAGACCCAGGCTGCTGGATCAGTGCTGGGCTTTGCCATTTGATTGCAATGATCGCTGTGCCTTTCCCTTGCTCTTAAGTTTCTCAGTGTTTGCATAATAACCCTACATGCAAACCTCGCAATGCTTCAGGGCTCAAGAACAATAAATATACACATTTAAAGCCTTTATTGTCTCACGGTTCATGCCCTCGGTTTTAAACAGCTTAATTTCTAGTTGTATTTAACTAGTTTCCAAATGGATTCCCCCCCCCTTCTCCCCCTCTTCCCAGTTCCAAACTATTACGAGGTAGCTCCAGCTCGCTCTCGTGTGTGTGTGTGTGTGTGTGTGTGTGTGTGTGTGTGTGAGAGAGAGAGAGAGAGAGAGAGAGAGAGAGAGAGGGAGAGAGGGTGTGGGTTTAAGTCAGTATTCCTGTAGCACTTGGTTATATAAATACATTATAATTTGAGAGCGCCCTTGGCACAGATCAGCATTGTAAACACGTACGAGTGTATATACTTCAAAATTAAAAAATGCACACGCAGATCTGGGAGCAGCCTGAATTCATATTCCGACCAGCCCACTGCTCCCATGTATTGATTTCTCATGCATCGGTTATTGTTCCCATCCCTAAATGCAGTAGCTGTCAGTTCAATAGTGTTTGCAAAAATCCCGCGATCGGGGTGTGTGGGGATGTGCCTCTGTCTGTGTGTGTGTGTGCTCACTTATCCCCCTCTTTTTTGCTGAGTCCTTTTTTTTGCCAAGCGAACAAATGCATTAATATTTATATGTTTATATAATCGATAACCCACTTTCTTCCTCTTCCCAGAGAAAAAGGCATCCAACAGCTAATGTAACAGATTAAGTTCCTTGGAAATATGGCAGTGAGGGAGCGCAATGTCACTATGAAACAAATCTGCATGTCTAATAAAAGCAAATCTGCTAAAGAGAATTAGAAAGAAGAGCAGCGCCCCTGAATCTCCGCAGGAAATGTTCTTTATATTAGACATATACAAGCAGGTCCTGTCAGATCCGCAGCGGAGCCGGGCAGCCTTTGTGCCCATCAAAAATGGAAGGGTAACCCTGTGCATCCCCCGGGCGGCTTTCCAGGAATGAAACCAAGTTCCAGAGCAGGCAGCAGCGTTGCAAGATTTTTGCGGGCTTTCGATCCCAATTTTGTCTTGATCTATTCGACTCTGTCCTCCGCTCCGGCTCAACCCCCACCCACCTTGCCAATTTGATCGGGGAGCAATCGGGCGGAACCCCAACCCCGATTCCACTTGGCTGGGAAACTGGGGGTCAGGAGAAATATTGAGCTGCCTTTTCTATCATTTTGGGGAAGCCGGAGAGGCGCGGTTGGGGTTTTATATTGAGGCTCCGGGCTGGCTGGTAGAGGAGAGAGCTTTCCCCTGCCAGGACCTGATGCAATCCATTCAAGCCAACAAGTTTGGAGAGAATGTTGAGTTCAATCAATTCAGAACGTCGAGATGGAGCCCAACTCGGTCCAGGTATCGTCTGCTCCGCGCCCCCCGCCCCCGCCCCGGGGCCCCGCCAGCCTCGCATGGCCCCCACAAACTTTCCAACAAACTTTGCCCCTCTGCACCCCCAAAAGGCATCCCCCCGCTTTTTAAATTCCTCCACTGATCACACGAATTGGTATTATCATAAGGTGATGATGATTTTTTTTCCTAGAGATCTTTACTCCTCATCCTGGGAGATCATATTCCCGCCTCTAGTCCATGTATGATCTAGCTGAGTGTCTCTAGCATTTTTTAATTATGATGATATCCTATTTCTTTTATTGATTTGATTTTTCTTTTTTTCCCCCCTGCAGTGGGTCGGTTCTCCGTGTGGTTTGCACGGACCTTACATTTTCTACAAGGCTTTTCAGTTCCACCTTGAAGGCAGACCAAGAATTTTGTCCCTTGGCGACTTTTTCTTTGTAAGATGTAAGCCAGAGGATCCGATTTGCATAGCGGAGCTCCAGCTGTTGTGGGAAGAGAGGACTAGCAGGCAACTTTTATCCAGCTCCAAACTTTATTTTCTCCCAGAAGATACTCCCCAGGGCAGAAATAGTGACCACGGCGAGGTGGTAAACATATCTCTCTCTGTATGTGTGTGTCTGTGTCTGTGTCTCTGCGTGAGACTGGATTTTTTTCCCCCTGCTTGTAATGTTTATTAAAGGACAGGATTGAAATGTTCTCTTCTGCAGACAACGTGAAGCATGTTAAAGGGGTAGTGCCACTACCAGGGACTCGAGCTGCTTCCCATTGTAAGAGTTTGCAAGGCAGCTTCACACGCAGGGGGTGCGATTCATCCGGGGGGTGGGGGGGCGTTCAGCAAAGATTAAATAACTTGTTTGGGGGTGGGGGATTATTTTTAATGATCTCTTTTTACCCCTTGCTGCTGCTTGAACGTCACATGCTTTGCTCTGTGTGTGTGTGTGTGTGTGTGTGTGTGTGTGTGTGTGTGTGTGTTTTTATCCCTCCTCATTTCAGTGCTTGGTCTGGGATTTTTTTTTCTTGTGGATTTAGATATTGTTCACATTTTTTAGTATGCGATATGTTTAAGAGGGCGGAAATTACGAAATGGAGGCTGAGTGAGATCAAAAGCTATTGAGCTGGCAAAGACGTGTTGAATAAAGTGATAAATGACAGGTACTGGAATAATACATTCAAATAACTTGCAGATATGCCTGGGCGTATTTCAAAGCACTCATGTAACCAGCACAAACACGTTAAGCATTAACAACTATCTTTTCCAATACATTCCGCTTGATGT